GGGGGGAGCGACCATTCTCCATGTCTTCAATGAAAATTTATGTTTTATGCTATCTTAAGAATGTTATGACATGCTTTTGTGAGATACATTGACTCATTATTAGAAATATGAAAATGGCACCTCATGTTATGTTTCATAAATGATTTGTGAATATATTTTCATGAGCGATGAATATGTTTATGTTGAAAGACATGCTTTATATTTATGATATGGTTTCGATAACAACATTTCAATTAAAGTTATGGTCTTTATGCAAGATCCAAGACATTTTCCAAAGTTATGTGATGTTTCATGAAAGGAATGATATATTCAGTTATCAAGGCCATTTTAAAGATTATGTTCAAGGCCAAAAGGGGTCAAATGATATTGGAAATGTTTTTGGTAGTATCCTTAAGCCATGGAAATTGTATTTGGGCAAAAGGGACCTAATTTGGAAACTACACATGCTGCTGTAAGCTTGGTGTTTATGTTGCTCACAACCTTCATGTCAGATCCATACAATGTATGGTGGGATACAACGAATGGTGGGACGGCTCAACCGATCGATATCCCTAGATCAGATTCATGTACGATCCATATGGCATTATGGTGAGACGGCTTTCCCAGTCGAGTCGTTTCCCGCGTTTGGATGCCATATTGCCCATATGGTGACTATGTACTATGTAAACGTCCAATGCTCCCGATTAAAGTATAATCTATGTTATGTTATGAAAAAGGGCTAAGGCCACGTGTAGTTTTCAAAATATGTCCAGGTCTTCAAATGCTTTGTGATTCATGAAGTGCTTTCATATGATTTGATTTGTATATCTCTAGCGTGATGTTTTCTTTAAAATCTTGTCCCAGTCTTGAGTTAGGGAGTCGATAGTACATGTTAAGTACGATGTGGATGTACCCGGTCGTTTGGCCATATTATTGTTTTCCTCTTGCAGTCCCAGATGGAAATTAGAGGAAGCAGATTGGTAGGCATTCAACTCCTCCAGGTTGTATGGTAAGCCCCGCTATCATACCAGTGGGTGTCTTCATGTCTGGTTATTTGTATGCATTATGTAATCATTGTCATTAAAAGCCCCATGTACATTGTGGGTCATGTAATTATGTTCAGAATAATATCATGTGTATTTCATGGATTATGTATAAAAGGTCAATATGATATTAGGCGAAGGAGCCGCTTGTTTATGGTTTCAAACTATGACATTTCTGTTATCATGATGCACGGACTATCTCTGTCTAAGTATAAAATGAGGGTTGGTTTGCTCTTATGGTAAGTCTAACGCACTGAGTGCCCTTCACCTTCCTCCAGATTTTGGGGGGTGACAACTGCATATCTTCAGAGCCACTTACCCTTTAATGCTCCTTGTTTCTCTTATTTAATGTGGAAGGCAGTAAATTGCAAATGGAGACCAAGGTGCAAAGCCTTGTCGGCAAGGGGACAAAAACAAGGGAACTTCAACTTTCTCCTGGACAACATTTTCAACTTTCGTCTTAGTAGTAGTCCAAATCAAACAAGGACATTCAGCTAGTAGTGGAATATAAGGCTCTTCAGAACATCAAACATCATGCCAGCACAGCAACAGCAAATGTATAATCGGTACTTGTGACAGCAAATTTAAATACTCATATAGGGTTTCATTATAAGTATTATTCATATAGATTATCTTGAGCACTAGCAACTTCTCTTGTTAAGACAACAAGATTGCTGATAGCTTTCCGAAATGCAAGACGGTATTAATATTTAACCATATCAAATATTTAGTGAATTAGCATTATAGGTTGCCTAGATCTAACCCTTTGGGACGCACATCTAACAGCTAAACAACTGGAAAGACTCATTCAATCCTCTAGATGGACTAAAAAAACAGTGCAACTTCTAGAGCGAAACAACATACCTGTACAAATAATGGAGAATACTCCTTCGCAGATTCCAAGCACATTTCTTCAAACTTCAATATTACTTCAATCTGACAGATCCAATATCAGAATATTCATGAGAACAAAACATGTGAAGTACTTTCCAAACATCACAACTGATGGAAAAACATTACTACTAAGATTTCTAAGAACCGACATTTCTTCGGGTAAGATAAAGAACCAACAGATAAGTGCCATGTTAACACACCTTTGATCAGAATATGTTTAATTAATTCTCTTTCACAACCTACATGTGCCTCAGGCTGGAAACTTCTTTTTTTTAGAGTGGTAACATCCTCGAGCTGGTAACTAATAGTCATTATTTTCTTTTCATAAAATACAAAATAC